AAGCCCACCTGGGTTGCTTCTGAAGACCCTCTGCCACTCTGGCAGTTTCTTCCAACAAGGTCAAGTGGTCATGAATGTGGGGATTAGTCCCATGGGCAGAGGGAATGTAAACCTTGCTGGGACATGAGGCTGCTACCAGGGAATGTCCTTTCCCTCCTCAAACAAGGAAATAATGCCAGCTTTAGATGGGGGAGAACACCGTGTGGGAAGGAGCAGTCCTTCCCCTGCCAGCTCAGCCCTTCACAGATGTTATGAGATAACAAATGGATCCATGCCCTACTCACCACTAAACCTTCCTCATGCATTTCCCGTACAGGCACACACTCTTTGCTATGAATTCATCATCAATCCTAACCCCCCACCTGGACAGCTGTGGTGCAAAATTCAAGGTCTGGTGGATCTGAAGACTTTTCTTTGCTATGACTGTGTTGCTGCGAAGGCCATATCCACGGATGTCCTTGGAGAGAAGGTGAAGAGCACAAAGACCTGGCAACAGCAGTCAGAAATGCTGCGGGATGTGTGCAACAGGTTGAAACAAGATCTGCTTGACCTTCAACTAGCGAACTGTACATCCCCAGGTAAGTCAGAATACCCTGAGGGAAATCGAGAGGTGGTTGACTGTAGGGATATTTATCTTATTCGTGGGGTAAAGAAAACAATTGGACGTTGGTCTGTGCAAAAAGTCCAGCAGCGAAGCTGGGTGTGGAGGAAGAACGGGGTCAGATTAATAGCTCAGAGGAGGTGGATATTGGGCAGGGGCCAAGGATTTGTCCAGAGCTGAGGCTGTTCTCTTTCCAGGGGGCAGCTCCCCTCAAGCTGCGGGCCATCATGACCTGTCACCAGAAAGCTAGTGGACACTTCAGCGGGTTCTGGGAGTTTGGCTGCAATGAACAGACTTTGCTCCGGGTTGACTTGAACCAAAGAAAGTGGACAGAGGTTCCCCCTGGATGGAGGTGCATGAAAGAGAAGTGGAAGAATGACAAAGAGCTATTCCCCTTCTTATACCAGACATCAATGGGGGATTGTGGCTCATTTTTGAAGGAGTTCATGGAACACTGGAAGGAAAGTCTGGAGACCAGAGGTAACTGGGAAGAAGAGGAGGAAGAGGTGGCTCCCTTTGGATGAGATGCTCCCTTGTGTGTGTGCCTGTGCATATGTATGTGTGTAAATATTCCATTTACAATGATCTGGAGTGGTTTCTCCCTGGGAAACAGTGCCAGGTGTACTCTTCACATCTTTTCCTTCATCCCCTCCTAACATCTCTTGCTCACTGCACAGGCTTGTGATCCAGTCACCGCGGATTTCTTGCTGACCTTCATGCTATAGGCATCATTCTCTTGCCAGGCCTTCCCTCAGAATCACTTTTCTTTTTCATCTAACCTGGTCGCTTTCTTGAAATCTTTCAAAAGCAACTTACACATCAGTTCCTGAGAGGATCCCTACCACTCTCACCAGGGGTCACTTCCTCTTCTGCCACTAACAAGGGTGGTTACGTTGTTATCATGGCTGCTCAGTGCCTGCA